CGGTCCCTGGGTCCTGTCATCTATGCCACAGACCAAGGTGCTCTGTCCGCCATGCCTTCTCCCTCTGTGATGAGCTAAACCCATGGGAGCCGTAGGCCAAAACTAAGTCTTCTTCCCTTTGAACCCCAAATCTGTTCCTCACTGAAGTGGGTTTCTTTGAGGTACTGAGGTTACAGTGGCACGCAAGTGGGGAATTCAGCGATGTCCCCAAGGTACCCTGGCACCATCACCCCTGCACCCCCTTGCCCCATGCCCCCTCACCCCTGCACCCATACACCCCCACATCCCCACATCCCCACACCCTCACAGCCGCACACCCTCACTGAACACACAGGAGAAAAAGCCAGGTAAACACCGTGTCTTCTGAACCCCACCCACCCTCTCTCCGGGTAAGAGCCAGATAAGTTGCAGCATGCACTCAGCAGGTGTGTAGAGTCATTTGGAAGCCTAAACAGATGGGTGGAAAACAAGAAGTCTGGGGTGGGGGAACAAAGAAGACAGAGCTGGAGCCCACCAGAGGTCCCAGGACAAGACGAAAATCCAGGAAGACTCAAGCCAATTGTTTCCGGCCAGTGTTCCAATGATTGTCTTGCTTTCTGTGGCCAGCCAATGAGGACTACAGAAACACCTAGTGCCTGAGCCTATTACAGATGCCCTCTTAGCAAAAGAGAACTATCCAATTCCTAACTGTCCAGAGTTATCTGGGGAGAGAGGCTCTACATGCAGTCAAAGAATTCGAATAAGAAGGTGGCAGGGGGAGATGAGACCCAGCAGAGAAGACAACGGGACATGGATGAGGTGACAGCCTGTGGAAGCTGCGAGGAACAAGGAATGGATTCCGGAAACCTGCCCCGAGAGCCTCTGATGCATCCATCTCGTTAACAACTTAAGCACTGGTTTAAGACCTTTGACCTCCACAGCTGCAGGAGAATAAGTCTGGTCTTTATCTTTTTCTTTTTTTAAGTCATTATGTTAGTAAAAAGTTGTCAAAGCAACTGTAAAGGATGGTGTTTGAAGACAGCTTGGGGTCGGGGAGGGGGGAGATCATAAAGTCATAAGGATGAAGCCCTTGGGAATGAGATTAGTTCCAGTATTAACAACAACAGAAACAAAAAGACCACATGCAAGGATACCAGGCTAGCCCAAATAAGATCATCTCTGTCATAAACTCCAACTTCCTTTTCTGCCTCCATCATAAGAGGACACGAGGCTAGCTCACATAAGACTTTCCCTGTTGTATAACTTCTTTCTCTACTTTGGTGGTATGTTGAGAACCAGGGGTTCTGGGGGGCTTAATTCACTTGGGGAGATCCCCTTCCCCAAACCACTTTTATCTCATCACAAGTAATCATATTTGTTTTCATAGGGAAGTTTGATTCTAAATCTTACAAAAGAATGAAGAAAATAAAAATTAGTCATAAACCTAACCCTCAGGAACAGCCTGCCACCCTTAATATTTTGTTTTCTAAATTTGTTCTTGAGTTCCCTGAAACTCAAATCACTTCTGACTCAAGCCCCGAGCATTCCTTTTGAAGTCATTATTAGAAACTAGCAATGATGACAAGCCAAATAATTAAAATCAACCGCTGTGCTGTCCTGGAGACACAAACAGCAGCCCTCAGGTCTCTATATCACAGCAACAACTGTCAAAACGAACTCAGCTCTTGACTGCAAGGAGAGGACAACGAGAAGCGAGTCATGCAGGCTCCACTGCGGGTCTCCATGTCAACCTCAAGTGTGAAGGGGAGGAAGCCTGAGAACCTGCTGTTCACCCCAGCATCCATGCAAAAGCTGGGTGTGTGTGTGTGGGGCACCTGCAACCTCAGAGCTGGGCAGATGGACATGAGTGGATCCCCGGGGTTTACAGGCTAGCCCGGCTAGCCTCATCACTGGGCCCCAGGTCCTGGTGAGAGATGCTGCCTCAGAGTAAGGTGGAGACTGAACAAGAAAAGCATCCGATTATCAACCTCTGTAACACACACACACACACACACACACACACACACACACACACACACACACGCACACACTCACGCACACACTCACGCATACACAGCACATCTGGTAGCCAACACAGAAAGAGAATGGATCATTCAGTTGTTGGTTAGCCTCTGCTCTCCTAGAGAGGAGGTGAGACTGTCCTTCCTGGCATTGGAGAATGGCCATGGACTAGGTCAGAGCTCCAGAACACACTCTGATCATGGCTTGATAAAGGATGTGGCGGTGACCTTTGAGAGAGATGCCCCATCTAACAAGGGGAAACACACAGATTTAACTAACTAAATATATAATGGTCCATGTCACATCAGGGGGAGATACCACACAGGCCTGCTGTGATGGCACTGCCTTGCCTCAAGCCCAAGGGACTGGGACTGGAATCGTGAGCCAAGGTAAACCTTTTTTCCTTTAATTTGGTTTCTCTCAGGTATTTTGTCAAAGTAATGAAAAGTAACTGACAAAGGTCTGTAACTTCACTGGAGTCAAGGAGAGGCTGGGAAACTCATTTGTCCTCTCATGCAGGTTTGGCACATTAACTCAAGTGTCCTCGGGTGTGTCCTCACACTCCCAAACACTCTGGAGCCAGGCCATCCATTAACAAACCTTTCTTTTTTCTTCATCACGATACAGATTTTTAAACAAAATGTCATCCTCAGGATGTACAAAACTGAACCAGCAAAGACAAAAAGTTAAAAAAAATCAATTATCCATTAAGTCATTGTGGAAAGTCCATCTGAAAACCCAGGGTCTTGGAGAAGGTCAAAGCTGCACCTAAATTTTTAATAAACCATAAAGGATGGCGTTAAAAAAAAAGAGACCTTTCCAAAGGCAGCTGGAGCTGGACAAGCTCTGGAAATGACTTGTCAGAGGATGGCATGTTACTGACAGGAAGTGTGGGTGAGTTATTCTCTTCAGACTAAATCAGAAACCAGAGGCAGGAGAAATGAACCCTGCTGGGAACTTCAGAGTTAGGTGATTTATTTTCATTTGGGTCTCATGTAACTCAGGCTGGCCTCGAACCTGCTGTGTAGCTAAGGATCTTCCTGCCTCTCCCTTCCAGTGTGCTGGGACAATGACTGGTATTTTTCAGGTGGGAGGAAACTCAGGAGCCCTCAGATTTCCAGTGGGCAATTTAAGATACTGTGGGGAGTATGACAGAGCCCCCAACAGTGCAAACCCACTTAGGTCTGCTCTGGGCACTGTGTGTCGGGTCTCATATGCGACTCCATTGGAAGACACGCTGTGGAGAGCTTTAGAAAGTTAACCAAGAAGGTGCACATCTGACTCAGAGATGGCTGAAACACTGAGAAGGAAATGGGAGAGAGATGGGCAATGAGGAAAATTCTAAGAAAAGCAGCTTGTCTATGATTACACAATAGAAACTGCAGTGACTACAATGGAAAGTGCTAGAGAAACAGGTTTCTCTTCTCCCAGAGGAAGAGGCCAGCTTAAAAGTGGCCTGGTGCCTGGTGTTTTAGGCAGATTCCATGAATACCAGATATAATAACACAGACAAGGCTACACACAGTGTCGTCTTTGCACAAAAAAGAGAGCACTAGTTCTCCAGAGGAATGATTTCATCCCTGCTGTGTTCTCTGTTTCTACAAAACCAATGCCAGGAAACAGCAGAGTCATATCTCCATGAGCCTTAAGAGAGAAACTTTGTCACCTTAGTGAGTCATGGCTGGCTGTGCTGCTCCTGTCACAGACAACAGACAGGATCTATGAACTCTGAGTGGGTCTGTAAAACAAATCACCTCTGACAGCCCCCAGGGACCATGACTGAGCATGCTCAACTTTCAGCAAAAGATGGATGGGAACAATTAAGAGCTCAAGACTGAAAAAGTCATGGTTGGAAGACCCAAGGAACCTAGTCCACACAATGACCCCCATCTATCAAATGCTCAGAGGGTCTGAATATAGCTAATGGCTGTTTTTCTCAGAAGAAACCATTTCACCCATGAGAAAACCAAACAGTATTTGGAGATAAACTCATCAGTGGGCGACAGAACTAGAGGTCTACAGTGTGTCCCTAGTAGCTCCAGATCCTTCACTAATTTATTTTTTGTAGTAGCCTTATTGTTTTTATTTTATGCTTACCTGTGTCTTCTCATTGTTTTTAAAAGAAGTATTGCCTTTTAAATCAAGCACCAGTAAGTGTTCCCCCATAAAATTAAATCCCAAGCCTTCAAAAAAGTTATTCTGTAATAGGAAAAGATCTGTAATAGGAAAAGGTTCCTACAAAGAAAACATGCGAGTGAAGTATGAATGTTAATCAAGGCAGAATTCCATACTGTCTTTTTTTTGTATACGTGTGCAGTGGGGTGCATGTTTGTTTGTGGGTGTGCATGTTTGTGTACAGGTGTGTGTGTGTGTGTATTATGTAAAAAGCTATAAATCAACCTTTGGTGTTATTCCTCAGCTCTGTCCACCTAATTTTTGGTGGCAGGGTCTTTTCCTGGCCTGGAACTCACCAAATAAATAGTTTGGCCGACCAGCAAGTCCCGGGGATCCTCCTGTTCCCACCTCCCCGGTGCCGAGATGATGGGCACATGTCACCACCATATCCAGCTTTTTGCCTTGGATTTTGTGGATGAAACCATCACTTGCACAGCAGACACTTCACTGTGAACTATCTCCCGAGCCCCTGAATTCCCTACATCCTTAACAGCATCAGTCAGAACTGGAGACATCCTGCACTTCCAGGAGGCTCCCTCTATCCCAGAATCATGGGTGGTACAGAATTATGTTCCACGTGATTATGTACCTGGTACCAAATATGTAAAGAAAGGGACTCCTGGGTCAAAATAACAGAGGTTGCTTAAAGTAACTGGAATGGGGAGATGGAACATGCAAAGATCATTCTAGAATGAATCACCCACAGCATAGAATGGCCTCCACTCCCCTCCAAATAGGACTCATGTCACTACCAACTGCATAGCTGTGTGGACAATGGCTCAACCCTCAGGCAGGTGGCAGACAGCCCCAGGACCAGTTCTCACCTGGAACGTTATGTAAGGTGATGGCCAGGATGAGCAGAGCGATCCTCCTCCAACTGCTGACCCCAGGCTGCCCTGGGTTCCCTTGCACAGGCCCTGAGGGAGCAGTGCCCTCTGGGAGGCCAGCGGCTGCCACCTTCTTCCTCTGGTATACCTCGCCATTCTCGCTCTTGTCTGTGTAAAAAGAACAGAGAGAGGGGGGGCTATAAAAGCGTTCACTCTGACTCCTGGGCAGGCAGCAGCAGCAAGAGGAAGCCTCAAAGCCAGGGACTCTACATCCAGACTGCCATGAAGCGTCTCCTCTTGGTGGCTCAGGCACTCCCTGGGACAGTCATTCAGCAAGGACTTGGGAACCAGACACTCTGTGCCTGGAGTCTGAGCTCAAAGAAGGATAAAAATGGCCACGTAAGGAGAAGGATGCTGAGGGTTGATGAGGAGCAGATTATGGAATCAGGCTATCATTTTTACTTCATAGCCCTGCCACACACCAGCTGAGCGATGCGTGCTAACCAGGGGTTTTCACTCTCTGTACTGTATTTCCTGACTAAACAATGCAGCAATGAAACATTTTCTGGAGGTTACAGGGCCGTAGGGAGTGAGAGATGTCCTGGGTGACTGTGTGTTGTTGGCACAGGCACTGGTCATGTCAAGTACCATCATTTCAGCCCCATGAGAGTTCAGCTGCATATAGTAACTCCACCTCCTTGTCCAGCAGTATATGATAACCCTGCCTCCTTGTCCAGCAGTATATGATAACCCTGCCTCCTTGTCCAGCAGTATATGATAACCCTGCCTCCTTGTCCAGCAGTATATGATAACCCTGCCTCCTTGTCCAGCAGTGTATGATAACCCTGCCTCCTTGTCCAGCAATATATAATAACCCTGCCTCCTTGTCCAACTGTATATGATAACCTTTCACTCTGTACAGCTCTATACAATAAACACACTGAGTTTCTGGGGTGCTGCGGCTTCTCCACCGAGAGCCCATCCCACCAGCTTTTCTATGTGGACATGTCTGTGTGTTTGTCATTTCTTCATTCCCTCACTACTCCAGTTAGCGCAATCCCTGGAACCAAGCAAGGATGTGACAAAGGTTTGTGATGATTCAACAAGAGAACACGCGGTTGTGCCCGGGAATGTGTGGATTGGTGTTGTCCGTAACATGTTCCCTTTCTCCAAGAACCCTCCAGAATTATGTATGTGACCCTACTCCTGGTCACCCTGAGACTCAAGGGGAACAACTCAGATGTCAGGATCAGCCAATAAGATTCCCTCTCCTAGGATGCAGGGTGACTTGCAGGCATGAAGCTAACCATGGTTTAAAAGCAGCTGTATCAGATAGACAGAAGGAAGCAATATGCCCAGTAAGCAGAGACAGGCATGCACATAGCCAAAGAGAGAAGACAGACAGACAGACAGACAGACAGACAGACAGAAATACATAGCAGCCCAAATCCTGAAGGGGCTGAGTTTCCTACACTAATCATCTGAAAACTCCACACTTTATCAATTCCATGGCTCAGAACCCAATTTCCAGTCTTGGGAGGCCGAGACAGGAGAATACATAAAAGATTCTGTCTCAAAATAAAATTCCTCTAGTTTAGACTAGAGTGCTGTTGTTTCTTAGACTGTTCCCTCAATGGTATTTTTAGATGCGTGGCCATCCTTGACTGTGGGAGATGGCGGAAGCTTGACACTCTGGGACTCTGGGCGTGACACTATAGTCCATGCTCTTGACTGATGGTGACAGGGACCCTCAACAGTCTTCCTTCCCATCTCCACTCAGAGAACTTCCTTCTAAAAGTGGGAAATCCCTTCTATGAAGATGGAAGCAGAACTTCCTCAAATCCAGTTCAGGAAACAAGGCGCTGGTGGAATGGTTCAGCGTCTAAAAAGCACTTGCCAATCAAGCCCGGAAACCGGAATCTGGTATCTAGAACCCACAGCGGAAGCAGAGACCTGACTCCTGCCAGCCGTCTCTGACCACCATGCTGTGGCCTGTGTGCCCCGCCCCACCAGTCACATACTAAAAATAAAGGAATAACGTTTAAAATGGAAACAACGAATACCTATGGGGTCTCCTGGCCCTTTATTGAAATAGAAACAACATTTGTTGTTTCTGCTGGGGTCTCCTGGCCCTTCATTGTGTGTGTGTGTGTGTGTGTGTGTGTGTGTGTGTGTGTGTGTGTGTGTGTGTGTGTATGTATCTCATCTAATGCCTTCTTTGTCACACCAGGCTAGCATAGTTTGTCTCAACTTTTGGGATGCTGACTCCAAAGTCCCATGGGGTGAAGAGATGGCTTAGCAGTTGAAAGAACTCAAGTGAGGTTCCCAGTACCCATATCAAGTGGCTAACAACCTCCTGTAACCCCAGCTCCTGGGGATCCAATGTCCTCCTCTGGCCTCTGCAGGCAACTACACTCACACAGACAGACACACATGCATGCAATTAAAGAAAAAAATCCTTTTAAAATGAGAAAGAAAAGGGAGCAGAGAGAAAGGAAGAAAGGAGGGCATGGCAGGGAGAGCAGGGAACGAGAATGAAAGGGGGGAAGGGAAGGAGAACCTTTAACTGATTCTCCACAGGGCATGACTCACAGGGAATGTGGCATCCCGCAGCTCTTCATAGGCAACCCTTGGCATTCCATCCAGGCTGGTGTGTATGTGTGTGTGTGTGTGTGTGTGTGTGTGTGTGTATGTGTGTGTGTGTACGCACACACATGTAAATGTGTTACTGCACACTCGTTACTGACCCTTGATCCCATCTTTACTGTCGGACACATTAAGGGAAGCTTCCTGAACGAATGCACAGGTGTTTCTGGGTGCATGAGGTGGAAGTGCTCATACATCTTAAGTTGATAACATCTGGATGACTTGGACTGCACAGCCTGGTCCGGGAGTCCCCAGAATTCCAAGCTCGCAGCCTAGAGACATCATGAGACACTTGAGTGCTGACCACGAGTCTAGCACCTGCTTCCCTGTCTTCTTTTCCGGGGATTCTCATGTCCCTGCGCGTCCATAGGTGACACCTGGAGGGCACAAACCTGCAGCCATGAGCTGAACAAACTCTCTGCTGCCTGGACACAGCTGCCATTACAACACGACAAACCCTGAAGTCCTCTCTATGGTGGCGTTGAGCCATCTTGAGCAGCGCTTTCAAAAGCACAATGGAAGTCACAATCCGCTCTGCAGCCAAACATGCACAGATGGTCTGGAAGCCTCACTGTGTCCTCAAGGATTCAAGACACATCTAGGGAGGTGGATTTGGAGCTAGCCTCTTCTTTCACAGCCCATGGGCCCGGCCACCCGAGGACACAGATGCTCTGCGGTCCCTGAGAGAGGGTGACTTGTGGAATCAAATGGGCCCAGTGATGGAATCTCAGGCCTCCAATGAATACAGCAATGCTAATCAACAGATCACCAGCCATGAGAGAGTGTAATAAAAGCCCCAGATCTCGCTGGAGATGAGTTCATTAAGATAACACAGCAGGCAGAGTCTTACCTACTGAGTGCACACAGCTTCAAATCCCTGAGAAAAGTCTCTGTTTCAAAACCCTGTTACAAAGCACAGTACAGGGATATAGAGTTGGGAATGGAAACGAGTCATACCAAGGATGCCAGGAAAAGGTAGTTGTACATTTATTAAGATAGAGAGAAGTAACTTACATGAAAAATCTATGGCTCTATGGTCCCCGAACCTCGGCTGTGATCCAAGAGAGAGCAAGAGCCCACCCTGTACCTTCTTTTATTCCTGATTCTCCCACATACCTATGACCACACCCCAAGGGGGCGTGGTCAGTGCTGTGGGTACGTGATCTCTTCCTACATTTAGTGACTATGTACTTGTGTGCGTATGAACAGCACTGACGTGCAAATCCCAAGTATGGAAGAAGAGGCCTGGGGAGATGACAGCTCACTCAGTACAGCAAATCACTTTGCACGTGTGAAGACCTGAGTTCAGATCCCTAGAAGCCTTGGAAAAATCTGGCCAGAGGCTGAAATATGGCTGCCATGTTTGACTCCTGGGACCTACATGGTAGAAGGAGTGAACCAACTTCCAAAAGCTGTTCTCTGACCTCCAAATACTGACCATAGCATATGTGTTTGAGTGCACGCATGTGTACACACACCAAACACACTAAATTATATAAACGTAACTGAAAAAATTCAAACCCAGCAGATACCCGTAATCCTAGTGAGGGCATGATGGGACATGAAGATAAAGAGATTCCTAGAATATTGCTGGAGCTCCAGGTCAAAGAGAAAGCCTGTCTCAAAAAGTAAGGACGAAAACACATAGTTGTCCTCTGACCTCTCCACATGCATATCTGCACACATACAAGCACACACATGCATGTGTGTGTGAATGTCCTACCTGCATGTATGTGTGTGTACCATGTGTACACAGTGCCCATGAGAGCCACAATAGGGCCTTGTTTCCCTCTAAACCAGAGCTCCAGATGGTTGTGAGCCATCATGTGGGTTGGGAACTATACCCAGGTCCTCTGCAAGAGCAGTGAGAACGCTTTAATTGCTGATCTGTCTCTCCAGCCCTCAGAACCCAATTCTTAGAAAGCCCTGCTACAATGCTTATTTATAGCTGTTCCTAATTGATTCTCTGAAAACAATAAGGAAGGGTGGATATTAGTGGATCTTTTCCTTCCATGTTCTCTGTGTGTGTTTATAAAAATAAAAAGAATTAAAGGTGGGTGGGCAGCATGTGTCTGTAACCAGTGTTGAGGGGGATCTCCAGGCTCACCAACCAGCCAGCCTAGTTGAACCAATGAGCTCCAGATTTAATGAGAGTCCCTGTCTCAAAAAATAGGGTGGAGAGCAACTGGAGAGCGACATGTCAACATGTGGCCTTCACATACACACATATACACACACAAGCATGTACAGACATGGACACTGCACATTCTACATAATTACAGTACAGAGCATGTGTCAGAAAAGATGCCTCTAGCCCAACGCAGTTTCTTCCATCTGTATGCCCCCAGCCCCTTGTCCCACTCACGACTGTGGATTCTGTCTTCCTGCATAGCCGGAGTCAGCGCTGTGTCACTGTAAGGAGAATGGATGAGAGGATCCCAGGGGCTGCCATGGGACCACAGCTCTGCCAGTGTATTGCTTACTCTTCTGCTGGTGAGATAAAACACCATGGCCAAGGCAGC